TTGATGAATATTACCCCAAAAAATATATATATTACAATTTTGAATTAAAAACGAAAAAAGTAATGTGACCACGAAGGGACTCGAACCCTCAATCTTCCGATTCGAAGTCGGACGCCTTATCCATTAGGCCACGCGGCCACCCTTCTCTTGAACTTCTGTCAATATCTCCCTGTTAAATTGACGAATATTACCCCCAAAAATATATATATTACAATTTTGAATTAAAAACGAAAAAATTATTGTGACCACGAAGGGACTCGAACCCTCAATCTTCCGATTCGAAGTCGGACGCCTTATCCATTAGGCCACGCGGCCACCCTTCTCTTAGACTTCTGTCAATTTCTCCCTGTTTAATTGACGAATATTGCCCCCCAAAATATATACATTACCATTTTGAATTAAAAAAAAAGAAAAAAGTAATGTGACTACGAAGGGACTTTAACCCTCAATCTTCCGATTCGAAGTCGGACGCCTTATCCATTAGGCCACGCGGCCACCCTTCTCTCGTACTTCTGTCAATATCTCCCTGTTTAATTGACGAATATTGCCCCCCAAAAATATATATATTACAATTTTGAATTAAAAACGAAAAAATTATTGTGACCACGAAGGGACTCGAACCCTCAATCTTCCGATTCGAAGTCGGACGCCTTATCCATTAGGCCACGCGGCCACCCTTCTCTTGAACTTCTGTCAATATCTCCCTGTTAAATTGACGAATATTACCCCCAAAAATATATATATTACAATTTTGAATTAAAAACGAAAAAATTATTGTGACCACGAAGGGACTCGAACCCTCAATCTTCCGATTCGAAGTCGGACGCCTTATCCATTAGGCCACGCGGCCACCCTTCTCTTGAACTTCTGTCAATATCTCCCTGTTAAATTGACGAATATTACCCCCAAAAATATATATATTACAATTTTGAATTAAAAACGAAAAAATTATTGTGACCACGAAGGGACTCGAACCCTCAATCTTCCGATTCGAAGTCGGACGCCTTATCCATTAGGCCACGCGGCCACCCTTCTCTTGGACCTCTGTCAATATCTCCCTGTTTAATTAGCGAATATTGCACCCAAAAATATATACATTACAATTTTGAATTAAAAACGAAAAAAGTATTGTGACCACGAAGGGACTCGAACCCTCAATCTTCCGATTCGAAGTCGGACGCCTTATCCATTAGGCCACGCGGCCACCCTTCTCTTGAACTTCTGTCAATATCTCCCTGTTAAATTGACGAATATTACCCCCAAAAATATATATATTACAATTTTGAATTAAAAACGAAAAAATTATTGTGACCACGAAGGGACTCGAACCCTCAATCTTCCGATTCGAAGTCGGACGCCTTATCCATTAGGCCACGCGGCCACCCTTCTCTTGAACTTCTGTCAATATCTCCCTGTTAAATTGACGAATATTACCCCCAAAAATATATATATTACAATTTTGAATTAAAAACGAAAAAATTATTGTGACCACGAAGGGACTCGAACCCTCAATCTTCCGATTCGAAGTCGGACGCCTTATCCATTAGGCCACGCGGCCACCCTTCTCTTGAACTTCTGTCAATATCTCCCTGTTAAATTGATGAATATTACCCAAAAAATATATATATTACAATTTTGAATTAAAAACGAAAAAATTATTGTGACCACGAAGGGACTCGAACCCTCAATCTTCCGATTCGAAGTCGGACGCCTTATCATTAAGCCACGCGGCCACCCTTCTCTCGTACTTCTGTCAATATCTCCCTGTTTTATTGTCGACGATTGCATATTATTTATATTTCGTGCATCAGTTATTTGTGAAATAACTGAACAAAGAAATCACAATTCGTACGAAGTTTCAGTCTTTTGCGTTGGGGATCAAAAATAAAAATCGAAATCGTGTAAAAAGCATATACCAGGAAACTGTACATGTAGACATTCAAATATTGAAGGGAAAGTATAATGTATAAAATAGGCAATTTTATACGAGTTTAATTTAGCTTTGATGGGCAGACAACAAACTTAAACAACTACGAATTTTAGTATTTCATTTATGATATTTCTTTTGTATTTCTTATCGTACCAATGTAAAATCTGGTATTTCTTCCGCTTATCCTACGTTACATGAGATCTTTAAAAAGGCCTGAACTCAGAGTCACCGAAGGCCTTATTTTCTCTCCAAACATCCAGCAAAAATTACATAAGTGCGCTGTAAGAGTTTGTTAGGGGGATCTCGGGCCTTGTTGAGAGGGTTACTATAAATAAATTGGAGAAAAGTCGCTTCTCTTTGTTTGCAAATGACTGACGCTATTTTTAAAGAGAAAATTAAGTCTTTAGGTAAAGATGCGAAAGAAAATGTGAGCTTTTTCAATCTAATAACAATTATGTCAGTTTCGATGAATAGCGATGGAAATACTTCCTGAAAAGGATTGCACTCCAAATACCCTCATGTACAGAATATGACAATAAATAGCTGGTACATCTGGACTAGACTAACATGCCTCATAATATGTATGCAGTCCCATATACCTATTTCCTTGTGTAGTGCATTTGTTTTTAAGCAAGACTGGGTCACTTTTTTTTTCTTTTGATGATTCATGGCCCACAATCCCTCTCACCCTCTGTACCCCAAAATAAACCTTTCCCATTTACAAATAACTTCTAGACATTGAAGTTACCAATAATCAATGCACTCGCATGACCATTTTCAACTTTAAAGAAAAACACACTGCTTCATAAATTGTTCTCTTGTCTGCTTTTTCAAGAGGCACTCTTCTCCCGCTCCTCCTTCTGTCTCGTCGTAATCATCAGCGATCCGTCTTCCATCTTCCTTCTCCATATTGGTCGTCTCAACATCCGAACAGGGCAGCCCATACTTCCTGTAACCTCTATAAATCGGCTGGACTTCAAGAATTCAGAAGCCTCGCAGACGGATCGATGAACCTAGTAATGAAAATGTATGAACTTCTTCACTCCAAAAGCCTTGTCAAAACCAGATTAAGTTCCCGCCAAGCCCTCACACTGTCTCGACTCTTTAGAAACATCGCCGCATTGGTTTCCAACATAATCATCAGCACTTCTTTTCACGACAGTCGCACGTCGCACAGTCATTCTTCAACTTGAGTTAAATTTGTATTTCATGATTAATGTTCCATTTATGTGAGGCGACGCTTCAATCTACATCGATTGCAGTTTTGCACAGTTTTTTAAGGCTGAAGCGAAGAGTGTTGTGCCCCATTTTGTAACGCATTTAGTTATTCCTAATCATCGCCCCTTCGTCTACATTATTTTATTTAGCGTTTATTTCACATTCCAACTGTATTAATATTTTGTAACATAGGTGAAATTGATTATATCGTTAAAGTAAAAATTGTATCATAATTATCTGTTTGATCCGAGAAAAAAAATTTGTTTTGAATGCTGAATGCGTTACAGTTTTCACATAATGCATACAAAATGTTACGACCAGGCACGAAGGGACTCGAACCCTCAATCTTCAGATTCGAAGTCGGACGCCTTATACATTAGGCCACGCGGCCATTTGTTAATTATAGACCAAATAAATAATCATCTTTTCGCTCCCCTGGAAATGTATAAAACTTCCTTATATTCCATGTAGTTAAAGGCCGAATTGACTACCATCTGAACATGGAAAACATACATTACTCATACTTTTTTCACCACTTTGATTGTGCCCATAATTATTATCATCGCCTTTGTTTAGCCTCCAAGTTAATAAATTATTGTATTATTTCTAAACACTTCATCATTAAGAGGATTAAAAAACTGAAAGATAAAGATGTATGTTCTGTTTTGCCTTTCACTGTTCATATTTGTAAGAAACCAAAATCTTGCACAAAACTGAATAGCCACGAAGGGAATCGAACCCTCAATCTTCCGATTCGAAGTCGGACGCCTTATCCATTGGGCCACGCGGCCACGCGGCCGTGCTGATGCTTAGTAAACTATATACCAAACAAAATTATTGCATTCCTTAGGTCATTATTCTCTCTTTATTTGATATATAATTTGTTTACCAATAGGCCAGTTTCATAATGTATTCACATACCTTTAAATCGCATTACGTAATCGGAGGGTCGGACAAACAAAGAACTCGCGCTGCGTAGCAGCCTACACTTTGCGTTCGCTGGGTGATTGTATCGTTTGTTTTCGCTATTTTGAGAGAGAGAGAGAGAGAGAGAGAGAGAGAGAGAGAAGAAAAAGGAGGCAGTTTCAAACTTGAATAATAAATATCTTTGAGGTGTGATTTTGTTCTTCATTCATTTGTTCTTTAAAATAGCTGAGTTTTAGGCAAGAATAATAGGAAAGCATTGCTGTTACAGAACTAGCGATTCACATTTTGCAACCAAACCTGTTCGGCCAAGTCCCAGGTACAGGCAGCGCACGACACCCCTCAAAACGAAGAAAAACGATCGAGGTCGATGATACATACGACATTGGCTTGAAAGCCAGTGATGAAACAGAAAGCGAAGCACCAAAATATCAGTTAGCTAGCCCATATCGGTAACTTCCATTCAATTTTGCATTTACATTAGCTCAGTAGACGATTATCGCCTGGTACAAAATCGTACTACTGAATCTAGTCATTTTGGGTGAATTTTTTTTCTTGACGTCTGCTGTAAGTAACTTTGACTCCTTCCTATATACCAAAGAGTACCCAAAGGGAGCTCTAAACTATTCAAAAAGTCAATTAAGACGTGCACCTTTCCCCATATCCGTTCCTATTCGTAAACGGTTACCCCCATTTTTCTCTTTCATACCGCATACATAATTATATACAAATTATAATTAATTTTCGTGAGAGCTGAAATATATTATTGTCCAGTATTCCACTTCCGACATCGTCTCATGTAAGGAGGTGTGTGGCTCAGTGGTAGAGCAGTGGTCTCGTAACCGGGAGGTAGCGGGTTCGAAGAAAGGTCGATTCGATATTGCTTAATTTGTCACTCGGAGAGGAACTAAAGTCGTTGCTTTACGATGCACTCCCCTTAATAACGACGGACTTCACCTTTGGGTGATTAATGATTAAGGCATTGCCATTTATTTTGTGGAATCTTACCATGTTTTTATCCCTATAAAGTAAGATGGAGTTTCGTTGCTTACTTTACAAGAATATACATGTTTTCTTAATCTTAGCAGTCAGGTTAAACAAACCAACCGTCATCACCATCACCATCACCCCACTACCACCAACAACACCATCAACATATCAACCGCAACTACTACTACCTCCACCACCACCACAACCACAAATACCACAATCGCGATTAGCACCACCATTCATAGGCGCCGGAAGTGGGGGGGCAGGGGGGGCAGTTGCCCCCCCAATCAAAAAAGTGGGGGGGCAAAACGCATTTTTGCCCCCCAAAAACGCCCCCCCCCCCCCCTCCAAAAAAAAACAAAAAAAACAGTAAAGGAGTAAACATGGTTTGTATTTTTAATCCAAAAGAACGAAACAATAATAAAAACCTGAATTAAATCAGATATACAATTCCATTCAAAGAAAAAGGAAAGTTCACAGGAATTAAATTTCATAAACATTGCGCATGCCACCTATACGGTATTTTAAATGGAGGTCTCTATAATAGCGATACGCGCATATCGTGGACATATTGTGCGAGAATGGGAAAGCGTGTCCGTGTTTTTGTTGTAGGGGTGAGAAGACATGAGCCCCTGAACGCTGGCGTACTGATGGGGGGGGGGGGGTAATGTATTTCTTATTCGAAACAAGTGATTTAGAAATTTTGATGTTGTGACATGATTTTCCGGCATTTTTTTCTCCATTTTTTTTTGTAAGTCATACCTTTTTATGCGTTTGTTGGAAAATAAGAAATTCCCACATTACTGTCAGGCGAAATACGCTTATTTAGAAGCCTTTATGTCATGGTCTGCAAAGTGGCTTGGCTCGAGCCCCCCCCCCCCCTCCTTTTTTTAAAAAGTATGTTAAAGAGAAAAAGAAAGAAAGACGGGAAAAAAAATAAGTGACCTGCCAATGTCACAAATAAGGTATAAAAAATGCTCATCTGACCGTAATTAAATGCTTAAAACCCCAGAGCTTACGGGGCCTCCACCCCCGGACCCCACCAAGGGACCTAAGGCGGGCCCCTGGATGCTCATCTGACCGTAATTAAATACCTAAAACCCCCGAGCGTCAGGGGCTCTGCCCCCTGGACCCCAACAAGGGCTCTAAGGCGGGCCCCTAGATGCTCATCTGACCGTTATTTAATACCTAAAACCCCTGAGCTTCCGGAAGCTCTGCCCCATGGAACCCCACCAAGGGCCCTAAGGCGGGCCCGTGGATGCTCATCTGACCGTAATTAAATACCTAAAACCCCCGAGCTTCCGGGGGCTCTGCCCTCTGGACCACACCAAGGGCCCTAAGACGGCCCCTGGATGCTCATCTGACCGTAATTAAATATTAAAACCTCTGAGTTTCTGGGGGCTCCCCCCCTTGGAACACGTCAATTGCCTTACAGAGGGCCCCTGGATGCTCATCTTACCGTAATTAAATACCTAAAACCCCTGAGCTTCCGGGGGCTCAGCCCCTTGACTCCCTGCCGAGGCCTATGCCCTGGACCCCACGTCAATTTACGCTCTACCTGATCGATAATACTCCACTTTGAAAAACGTTCCGCGGGACCTGCATGTAACGTGTAAGACTGGTGGTGATGCATATTTTTCGTCTGCCCCCCCCCCACTTCCGAACTTTTTTTTTCTCATTACGTCACTGCCCCTGGAAAGTGAGCCCCCTGGAATGTTTGCCCCCCCAATCCCAAACTGCTTCCGGCGCGCCTGCCACCATTACTATCACCACCACCATCACCACCACCACCACCACCACCACCACCACTACCACCACCATCACCACCACCACCATCATGCACCAACCCACCACCCCACCCTATCAATCTCGCAACACCATACAATACTCTCATGTCTTTCTTATTGCGAAAGTCCGATCCTATGTTTACCTTGGAGTTCCTATCAAACAGAAAATGTAGCCTTTAATTCCTTTGAGGGAAGTGTATATTCCATTTGATTAGTTTCGAACCCTATAGTCCGCCATATTGACCGGTCATAGAACAGGGATAGTTCAAACACATCCATATAGTGCCCTCTCCTCATATCAGTATCTAATAAAATAGGAGGGAGGGGATAGCTGCGTTTTTCTGTAATAAATGCGTTATTTTGCAGAAGTCAAACTCCTCCCCCATTTGTGTAACAGTCTGTAAAAATACGTCCACAATAATTGTGTTAGATTGAATACAGATAAAAATATGCTATTTCGGGTCCTTTCTAGCTTAACTTCGGTTACCTTCACGGCCTTATTTCTCTTAAAAAATAAGGACTCGCCTTGACCAGTGAGTAATTCTGCCAAACTGCCGATTTAGCCATACACCTGGAATATTTATCCCACCCTTATAGACGCCAAATGGTTGGCGGATCGCGTGTGTTAATGTGCTGTGTGTGTGTGTGTGGGGGGGGGCAAGGGGGACACATACCACATCTTTATTACGTCCATCGATATATTGTTTTCTGCTTGTCAGAGAATACAAATCTACGACTATTTCCCCCCTTGCTTATCAGAGAATCTTCAGACTAGTTGTGCCCCTTTCTCCACCATGGATCCCTGAGTCCACCATTGACTGCAGTAATGTGTAATTATTGAACTTGGCTGCACTTTTACTGACGGCACTAATTTGAATTCTGGTATTTGCATTTCGCAATTTGCTCTTTCATTCATATTTTCTATTGTCCATTTGCTTCACACGTTTCAAACGTGTGAAGCAAACTAAACTGACCTCATCTCACCAACTACGGTTTGGTGAGATGAGGTCAGTTTAGGCCGGCCTCCGGTCAACCGTGAACTGTTCTTCTAGTATGTACATGGTTCTAGAAACCCAAATGCAAATAGGCCATTTTCGTAATGTAACCAAATTTAATGCATTTAAGTCTTTGTGAAGTGCCTCAATACAAAGTATTTCATTCACCTGATAAAAATAATAGTATTTCAATAGTCAGAATGCAAACTGCATAATGTTAAGTTAATAGGTAGGTCAAGCCATAATTTTTTTCCTACCTGGCAACAACTAATGTATGCAGTTCGAATTCTGTCTATTGAAATACTATTATTCTTATCAGGTGAATGAAATAATTTGTATTGAGGCGCTTCACAAAGACGTATGCATTAAATTTGGTTACATTACGAAAATGGCCTATTGGAACTTTGTGATATTGACCGTATATTGTTGTTCATTATTGATCAAACGATATTGTGTAATAAAGCACATTACAAAATTGCACCGTAATGGCAATGCATGCGAAAAGCCATTTATAGTAGTAAAATGAAGGTTGGTAGCTGGCTTTTGATGTCAAACTCAAAAAATTATTTTGTGACCACAGAGCTTTATGGTTTTATTAATCAGAGGTGTCGAGGTGTCGTGGTTTAGTTGGTTCATTCACTTGACTCTCAATCCAAAGGTTGAAGGTTCGAATCCCTGCCCGGCAGTAAAGTTCTTTGCGACTCTTCCCCTAAGAGAGAGAGAGAGAGGGGGAGATACAGAGAGAAAGAGGGGGAGAAAGAGAGATACAGAGAGAACGAGAGAGATACAGAGAGAGAGATATATAAATATATATATATACAGAAACAGAGAGAGAGAGAGAGAGAGAGAGAGAGATACAGAGAGATTACAGAGAGATACAGAGAGAGATACAGAGAGAGAGGGGGGGGAGGGAGAAGCGAGATTGTAATATAAAAACATGATAAAATGAGATAGTAGCAGCAACATGCTGAATCTGTATGATATGAGTTCGACAATAGTTAGAAAGTAAACTTTTTCAAGACGTTATTTGAAGGGTTTGGCAGGAGGAGGAGGAGGGGGGGGGGGGTTGAGTGTTACAGCTTGGGGTTATTCTATACCCGGGGCTTCAATCTGGTTGACCGCAATCAGTGAAACACAAGAGGGCAGGAGGATGCTCCAGACGAAAGAGAAGAGGGAGACGGAGTGAGAGTTCTTGAGAAGCAACCCCAGGCGTGCATGAACACTGCACTGAAAGTGATACGTGGTGGAATAATAGGATGCGGTATGAGAAAGAAAAAACCTCTTCTTTGCTTCAACGTCATCTCTGACCGTGTGTAAAACAAAGGTATGGAAATAAGAAAGAAAGAGAGAGAGAGAGAGAGAGAGAGAGAGAGAGAGAGAGAGGGGTGGGGGAGAAAGAGAACAGGGAAAGGTGGAGGAAAGATACAGAAAATAATATTTTTCTATATTAATGCAACTAGACATAGAGAGAGAAAGAGAGAGAGAGAGAGGGAGAGAGAGAGAGAGAGACTGAGAATGAGGAAAGGTAGAGGCAAGATACAGAAATGAATATGCTGCGACATTAATTCAAAGACAAAAAGAGAGAAAGAAAGAGAAACAGAGAGAAAAAGGGAAAGGGAGAGAGAGAGAGAGAGAGAGAGAGAGAGAAGGAGAAAGGGAAAGGTAGAGGCAAGATACAGAAATTAATATGCTGCGATATTAATTCAAAGACAAAGAGAGAAAGAAAGAAAGAGAGAGACAGAGAGAGACAGAGAGAGAGAGAGGGGGAGAGAGAAGGAGAGAGGGGATATAACAATATAAAAAAGGCGAACTTTTACATAATGCTATACCGAAAATTAATTTCCGACTGAACTTTTTGCTCTATTATGAACACGTTGACTAGTTATTTTGTCACGGCCTTACTGGTTTATTGTTGATGACTCAGACAGCTTTTGCATAATTGGAATATTTATGACCCAATAATTACACTCTATTCATTTTATTGTGATTATGTATAATACTCCGTACATGTACTATTAATAGCTACCGTATCTGGATGAGCATGCCAAAACACAATGTACATGTAGATTATGACACACGCCCGCCAACAAAGCCTTCGCGCACACAATAGGCATGCACGTCTCAATTCGCGGGGAGACACAATGTATAGCCTATAGTCAACAATAACAGTTTACAGTACAGCGCACACACTGTGACCTTTGACCATTGTCTGTATTAGAACAGTTTGTACTAAGCATGGACATACAT